GATGATGATGGTGATGATGAAGGTGATGATGGTGGTGATGATGGTGATGATGGTGATGGTGATGATGGTGATGATGATGGTGATGGTGGTGATGGTGGTGGTGGCAGTGATTGAGGTGGTAAAGGGATAGACTCAGAGGACTTGGCTTAGCCCATTGCTTTAAAGAACTTTTATTAAAAATTGGATCTGCCTTTTGCCTCTGTAGTCAACCTAGAAATATCACCTGAAGGTCGATTTTGGAGGAAGGATAATTGCAGCTGGAGGAAGAGGGTATTGAAGACTAAACTCCCCGGGTGGGACTGTCAGGCTGGTGAGGCCCCACTGTCTTACTTCCCCAGTTTGCGGGGAGGCCGCATTCCTGCCGCAGAGCACCCAGAACTCCAGCACCTGTCTGGGCACTCGGCTCACTTCAAGCAGGAGGGCGAGCCTTAGGAAGGACGGGTGAGGGAAGGCTCCAGGCACACGGGGCTGGAAGGGGGGAATCTAGGTGGTGGTGTGGAAGACAGCAAAGAGGGCTGGGGCGGAAAGGGAGAGGCAGGGCAGGCTGGGTCACGGAGCGCGGGATGGTTTGGGGACAGTGGGGAAGTGATCCGAGGGATAAGAGTCTGGGCGGCAGGTGGGAGGTGGGAATGGACGGCTGAGGTGGCGTTCAGGCTGGGGTGGGGTCCAAAGGCTCGGATGGGGGTGTGAAGGCGGAGGTGGAAGTCTGAGATCGCAGGTACGGGGCCTGCGAGTGGCGGTGGCATCGGAGGGCTGGGAGCGGTTTGGGACGAGCGCGCGCAGGGCGCAGGTGAGGGGCTGAGGGCGGAGCCAGGGCGGGAGGGAGGGCTCGAGGACCGAAGGCCCGGGCAGCTCCCAGTCTGGAGACTCCGGAGGAGGAGCTGGGAGCCGCGGGCGGCGGGCGGCGGGCCGGGCTGCGCCATGCGGGTGCACCTGGGCATGCTGGCGGGCGCGGCGGCGCTGACCGGGGCGCTCAGCTTTGTGCTCCTGGCGGCCGCCATCGCCACGGACTTCTGGTACATCATTGACACCGAGCGGCTGGAGCGGGGCGGCCCGGGGGCGCGGGGCCGGGCGGGGGCCGCCCTCAGTGAGCTCGAACCTCTGAGCTCGCACTCTGGCCTCTGGCGCACCTGCCGGGGTAAGGGGGAGCGCGGGGATGCTGCGCGGTGCCGCGCCCGCCCGGGACCTGTTGCTGGGCTCGCAGTCCTCCCCCGAGCCCCAAAGCACAAAACACGGGGGTCTGGGCCCGGGCCGGGTGGGCAGAGGGCTCCGGAGCGGGGTGAGCTCCAGGCGCAGCTGCTCTGGTCTCCGCACGATCCTCCCTCCCGGGATGGCGTCTAGGGTGGGCGTGGGGGCGAGGCCGAGGGCTGGGTTTCCAACGCCACGTCCGCAGCCACAGATTCTTCCGCCCCATCCAGTCCAGAGCCCGTGCGTGCCGCTGATGAACCCCTTCTGGCAGGAGAACGTGACCGTCAGCGACTCAAGCCGACAACTTCTCAGTGAGTCCGGGAGGGAGGGGATCGGGGGAGAATCCCGGGTCTGGACACCAGTTTTGGAGCTCTTCAAAGAGTGGGGCGGGAGCCCTGCGGAGTGGGTGGCCAGGACCGAAGAAGGAAGTGGAGTTAGGGGCAGGGGCCGGGCCTCTCTTGCGCCACAGGTTACACTATGTGGTTCAGGATTCATTGCACAACCGTTGATCGCAGGCTTCCTCTGCACCAAGCACCGTGCTGATGATTAAGACCCAGGTCCTGCCGTCCAGGAGCTCACACACTAGCTGCGGAGACGCATGTGGAAATGCGCAGTCACATTTCAGAGTGACAAGCAGCATGAGGGAGGGAGGGTGGGTGGAGTCCGAAGAGACACCTAAACCAGCCTGAGGAGCTGAATGCTGAAGAGAGGTCTGAGCCCATAGACCCCAAGGCACACCCCATGTCAGCCTTATTTGTATCCTCAGGGCTGAGAACAAGCGCTTGGCAGTAGCGGGGATGCAGTGAATATCTGTGGAATGATTCAAGAAAGGTGATCAGGAGCAGAGAGCAGCCCCCTCCCCCTGGGGCCGCTGCGTCTGTCCTGTTCAGGGCTGATTTCCCAGTGCCTAGCACAGTGGTTGGAACTCAGTAACACTGGGAAGACTGAATGCAGGGAAGCGAATGGGCTGAAACAGACACTTGAGAAAGGAGGGACCTAAACATAATAGTTCAGCGAGTTCATTGAGGCTGGCAGTGGGCCAGGCGTGGAGCTGAATGCTTTCTTTCCATCTATGTCTTCAGTTAATCTCCACTGCTACCCTGTGGAGTTAAGTATCATCTCCATTATTACCTTCATTTTTCCTGCGAAGAAACTGAGGCTCAGAGAGGTACCATAGAGAGAATCTGATGAGGAAGGGAGGGCTGAGTTTCACAGACCTTAAAAAATGTGGGTTGCTTTTAATGGAGTTGTTGAGGATTGGGAACAAAGAGCAAGTCGCTAGCATGGCCCACAAGGGCTGCCAGGGTGCCTCTGCAGTTCCGATCTCCCCTTGCTCTTTCTTCTCTGGCTGTGCTGGCCTGGGGCTACTTCCTGAACCATGCCCTATTTCCTCCTGCCGCTGGGACTTTGCATATGCCATTTCCTCTGCCTGAAGTCTCCTTGCTCCCATCCTGCTAGCTTGACTCGGTCAACTTCTACTCATAGCATAGATTTTGTGGCATTTTTTGAGTTAAAGTCTGACTCCCTCATTAGACCATGAGTTCCATGAGGACGGGGACCATGCCTGTCTTGCCATGGCTTGATGCCCAATATTTAGCACACCCCTGGTGTGGGGTGGGATCACGAGCCCAGATTTGCTGACCCAGGTACGAGAGTGAGTATAAATTGTATTATGTTAGAAGTGGAACCTATTTTTTAAATGAATGAATGAGAAAATGAGTGGAACAGAAGTCCAGTGGTGTGCTGGGAAATAGTTAATAACTGTCTTTCTGGGGGAAGAGGGAGTCTTGATTTGAAGCATTTGCGGATTTCTTTGGTGTAAATATTCCCACTGGGGTCAACTTCAAGCTATCAACATGATGTCAGGTGGCTCCGCAAATTCCTAAAAACTTAGCAGTTGGCTCTCACAAGCTGATACAATCCAGCTGCTACACCCTGCATAAGGTCCCAGGGAAGGAGATGTTCCCTTGACATGTGTGGGAAGTTGAGGGAAGGTAGAGGTGCCATGAGCTCTTTCCGCAGCCCTACGCTAGTCAGAATCAATTTAGGGTGTTCTCAGAGCATTGTTTCAAGAATGATCAAGAGTTCCCGCCCTTGATGTGAGGGAGATGGGTGTCAGATGCCAGCTTGGACCCTTCCCAGGACCCTCTGGGATCGTGGGACAGGTGTCTTAACCTCTGAGACTCAGTTTCCACATCTCTCAAAATGAAATGTCAAAACCATGAGGGGGGTGTGGTCAGAATTCCATAAACCAGCTAGCTGAAAAAAGTGACCTTACCTGGGACCTCACATGATGCCTGGTTGTTGTGGGATCTCTGTGTTGCATGAAAGTGGCTGGACACATTAAGTGCTCAATAAACACTAGTCTTTGCTATTCCTTCCAGCCTCTTTTAGATGCAATCCCATCTCTGGAGCACTGACCCTTTGCTGGGCTGGGTGCTGGCATTTAGCCTACTTATCACATCTGTGGGTAAACTGGATGACTAATTATAGTTGGCATTGGTCTGGCTTCTTTGTGAAACTTAATAATGTCAACAATCCTGTGTGCTCCAGGATTTTGAGCAATGGGCAAAATTCACATCCAGAGTCTGTTCGTCTGTTCACTCTCAGACCCAGGTCTAAGCCCCAGCTTCACCGCCGAGGAGGCGTGCAGCCTTGGGTGCATTCCTCTATCTCTCCAAGCATCGGTTCCCTCATGGGCAAAGGGAGGATATCTGTCACCTGTCTTCATAAGGATATGGCCAGGATGGAATGGGAGAGCGTATTTAAAGAGCCTCAGTGGTGGCTGGCCTCTGTAAGTGCGCCTTGAATGGGAGTGCTATTATTACCATTATATCATCCAAGAAAGAGCAGGCTGCCCCTTCAGACCACATGCTCGCTGCACACCACCCCCAGAGGGAGACTTTGCTCAGAATCTCTTTATCCCCAGAATGAGTTTGGAATCTTGTCCAAGCTCTTTTGTTATGTGGCGGCGTCTTATTCCTTTGAGGACCTGCTGCTGGGGTCACAGAAGAGAGAGGGCAGTTGTCAAAGCAGCGTGTTCTCTGAGCCAGCCTCCTAGACAAACCCCAGTGGGGGTGTATAGGGAAGAACTCTTGATTGTTCCAGCCAGAAACCCCAAGCCGGCGCCACTCCAGCGCCCAATAAAAACCCACCTTGCTTGGATGTTTTGTCCTCCAGATTAGCTCTGGGGATGTCATGGGTTTGCTTCCTTGGCCAGGGACTGGAATTACTTTTGGCGGAGGTGGAGGGGATCATCAAATTCAGCACCATGTTGAAAAAAGAGCCCCAGTTTGGAAACATCCAGGCTCGCTGTATCAACCAGGAGTCTTTTGGTGAAACACAAATCATCCTTATTTAAACAAGGAAAGGAATTCCCCGTCCATGGAACCGAAAAGTGTGCTGGGATCCAGAGAATTAAACGCACTTTCTTTCTTTTCCTCTCCGGGCTTTGCCTCTGTGTGGGTCCTGCTTTCAATAAACCCTCTCCAGTCTTCACAACCCAAGCAGAAGGAGGCTCTCCACTTGCCAAAAGTCTGCAAACATTCTAAGTAGGCTTCTCATGGGACCAGACTGGATCACACGCCCAGGGCTGAGCCAGTCCTCGTGGCCGAGGGATGGGATGTGCTGATTGGCTGGGATGAGATGTGCCATTTGTAACAAGGGGAAGGAGTGGGACCAGTCCCATCATAGATAAGGGCCCCACAGCTTACCAGTGGGTGTGGCTTCTGGCCCGTCCCCTGCTTCCATTAACTTCCATTAACAGGCTGCTCTGAGATGAAATGAGATCACATAAGCAAAGCACCTAGCATAGATGCATGGTACATAGTAGGAGCTCAATTAATGTCTCCTCCTGCTCTAAATCCCATTGCCTCCCTGAGCCTCAGGCTTCTCATCTGTAAAATGGAGCTAATCATGAGAGACTCATTTACTTCCTTTGTACATATGTATTTCACTCCTGGCACTGGGCTAGATGGAGGGCATAGAACATGACGAGATAGGTGTGGTCCTTGCCCACACAGAGCTTGAGTCCAGTGCAGCAGGCAGATAGTAAACACATGGACCAGTGAATAAATAAACGTAAACTTGTTTCAAATAGCAGTAGGTGTAGCAGAGGGAATGAAACAGGGTCACGTGAGGAAGGGTGGTGGAGGCACCTGTCAATGGTGTGGTTGAAGGGCAATAAGAGCAACAGCTGATGTTTACGGGACAGTCACTGCATGCCACACACTGTCCTGAGTGCTTTGCATCTATCAACTCTCTTCATCTTCATGACAACCTCATGAGGCAGGAGCTGTTATCATCCTTACTTTCCAAATGAAGAAACCGAAGCACAGAGAGGTTAATAAGTTATGGAAGTTTGCACAGTTACAGGTAGATCTGGGATCTGAATCCAGGTGGTTCCTGCCCTGTGGGAATGATGTGACACAGAGCAGAATTCCAGTGTCATGTGGGTGTGCTAAGACCAAGGCCATGGCAGGCCAGAAGAGAGGCTCCTCGCCTGTTTCCTGGGTTCCCAGTCCCCCATCCTACACTGCCTCTTCCATCTGGGAATCAGAGATCGGAATTACAAGGAAGAAGGGCAGGAGCAGAGCTGAGCGGTAGGATTGAGGGCGGGGTGTTCCAGAGACAGCTAGAAGGCTGGTGTTTCTGGAGGCAGCACAGAAAATGCTTCTTACCCACACCTTGGGTCCTCCCTATGCCTTACTTCGGCTGTGTCTCCTAAGAGCCAGGAAGGTGGTCAGGCTGCTCATCCTACAGCTAAGCACACCAGACTTAGAAAGGTCAAATGCCTCGCCCAACATAGCACAGCAGTGGCAGGAGGCCACTGTAACTGAGGGCCAGAGGCCTGGCCTGCATGTCTTCTGAGGAGGTGGAGGTTGGAATATCACAAGATCGGGTGTCTGGTCTCTCTGGGTACCCGGCTGTTGCAGTGGCACGGAAAATTAAAACCAGCCCTCCCACAATGCCTGTTGCCGATTGCAAGAGAGGAGATGGTGGGGAGAGAAATAAAGGGATTGGGGACCTAATGGGATTCAGAGGCGGCCTGAATCCAGGAGGGGATGCTCAGTGTGATTCATGCATAGCTGTGCGGTAGGTGGGAAGGGAAGTGGGGGGCGCCGGGGGTCTCAGCATCTCTGGGCACGAAGGCCTGGGCTTTAGGCTGCCTCTCAGGTGCTTGTTGAAAGTCAAGTACACACTTCAAACAAATAAAGAAACAGAAAATTCATATTCAGTGTAATTCCACTGCTTGGGATCTACCCTGTGAGGTTTCTAAGAGGCTCACCTTAACCATTTTTGTAACTGTGGA